ATGACAGCTGAAGCTGGTGGGGAGGGGGGGATCACTGTCATCCAGGAAAGTAAATATTTGTTATTTATTAACTCGATAGTTTTAGTGAGAAAAGTGTTTTTTTTTGTGCACGGATACTGATTTTGATGCTTTTATCCATTGAATTGTGTATTTTTATCGGTTTAACCTCCCTGGCGATCTGATGATTTCATTTTTATTTGTTCTATTTTTTCCCCTTTATGCCGGCATCGGGCAGAGGACCCAGCGCGGCTTGAGGGACAAGGTAAGTAACGCTACGCTGTAATCCCGAGTGTGGCTCGGGGTTACCGCTTATGGTGCTGAAAATTAGCCGCGAGCCACACTCTGGATTACCGCCAAGGAGGATAATACTGATTTGATAAACATTTTGGCAGGACCTACAACATTATTAGCAGCATCTTTTTTATTCTATCGGGCCTGTGCTTTCAGAGACTATGGTTTGGGGGGTTTTGTCTTTTACAAACACTAGTAACGCAGCAATACAAAATCAAAACAATGGGAAAAATTGGTGTGGCCAGCATAAGGTGCAAAGCGTTCCGGAGGGCTTGACAGCGAAATGGTGAAACTTGTTCACTCTGGAAAACAGGAGACTGAGAGGGGACTTGACATTTATGGTGATGGGACAATCAGTAATAAACTGTTTACTGTCAGTTCAGTCAAGAATACAAGAGGCCACCACCTAAAACTGGAAGAGGAAAGGTTTCATCTTAAACAGCAAGGGGATTCTTTACTGTGAGAGCTGTAAAATTGCGGAACTCCCTTCCACAGACAGCGGTTTCAGCTGAGAGTATGGAATCATTCAAGAACCGTCTAGATATGTTTCTCAGAGAGCAAGATATACAGAGGTAACACACGCACGTTGAACTCGATGGACCCGTGTCTTTATTCAGCCTTAACAACTATGTAACACAAAACACATTTTGATTTTTTTTTTTATCTTTACGAGTTTTAAAAGTATCCAATTAACATAAAAGACAAAATGTCAATGCGTTAAAGAAAGGTTTAACAGGAAAAATGAGAACAAACAATGATATTCTACAGATGCACATAAACAGAATCAAGGTACCAGTCCAGATGGAAAAGTCCATGTGGTTGGATGTTGGATGTCACACTGCAATTGCCTAACATTGTGCAAAACAGATACTAACGCAGATTGGGACCATGAGTGCATATGCAAAGAAGATAAGGAGAAAGAAGAGAGCTGTTACAGGGCAGAAAAAGGGCTTAAAAACAATAAAACAATAGGGTAGGGAAGTAGTGGAAATGATGAAGGGAGGAAGGGTGCAAGAGGAAAGGGACGGGACAACAGGGATGGCATCAAGACCCTAGGCATCACCAGCACGAAGAAAGTGTCATCCAGGCAATAACACTTCAAGTATTTGTTAAACTAAATTCCAGCGAATACGTGAAGTCCATCCAGTAGAACCGTGTTTTCCGGAACTTCTCCCCATTATAATAGAGGGAAGAGGCGAGTTCTTCCATAATGCGTATATCAGAAACTTCCCGGAGCCAAAGTGGAGGTGGCTCAGAGTGTTTCCGGTATAGGGGGATGCACGCTCTGGCCGCGTTCATCAGGTGCAATAGGAGAGAATGTTTGTATCGGGTCAATACTGATATTGCAAATATTTCTCTCATTGTAGGATAAAAGTTTTTTCCTCCATCACGGTACGTGTTTAATGAAATACGGCTAAAGAAGTTCTATTCTTAAGATATCAAGTAAAACAAAAAAATTACAGGGATGAAGCAATACCAATCTAAAGATATTGACTATTACAAACTCATGATATTAGTGAAAAGAATTAGAAGAAATTGATACGATAGCAGGTGTTGGTACCCAGAGACCAGATGAAGAAACACTTGCCCGTACTAAAGTCATCTGTATCCAAGGAAACTGGTATGGATGCACAGCCGCTGGAATAGTGATAACCAGCACAGGTTCTGTCTGCCACTATAGTAGCCAAATCACGATCCAAAGTTGTGATATAAAACTAGACAAACGATCACGATGAGCCTTAAAGATGCAGAGTTATGGCATGTCTCCAAGGCCAGAAAATATGCCATGGCAACAAAATAAAGAATCAAATGCTTGTGATTATAAAGGACATACAGGTGAAACTCAAATAATTTGAATATCGTGCAAAAGTTCATTTATTTCACTAATGCAACTTAAAAGGTGAAACTAATATATGAGATAGACTCATTACATGCAAAGCAAGATAGTTCAAGCCGTGATTTGTCATAATTGTGATGATTATGGCTTACAGCTCATGAAAACCCCAAATTCACAATCTCAGAAAATGAGAATATTGTGAAAAGGTGCAATATTCTAGGCTCAAAGTGTCCCACTCTAATCCGCTAATTAAGCCATAACACCTGCAAAGGGTTCCTGAGCCTTTAAATGGTCTCTCAGTCTGGTTCAGTAGGAATCACAATCATGGGGAAGACTGCTGACCTGACAGTTGTGCAGAAAACCATCATTGACACCCTCCATAAGGAATATGATAAATCACGGCTTGAATTATCTTGCTTTGCATGTAATGAGTCTATCTCATATATTAGTTTCACCTTTTAAGTTGCATTAGTGAAATAAATGAACTTTTGCACAATATTCTAATTATTCGAGTTTCACCTGTATATCTGCAATACCTGAGCATAGTCTGCATGGTCCAGTTTAAATTTAGTGATGTCATCAGAGTAGGTTGGGTCACATAATGCACAGTTACACCACACTCGCACTGTACCTTTAAAAGAGGCAGCGTGGTATGATTCTGAATAGAGATGCATCAGTGTTTCGCTGTCGAGTAACGATATTTATATTTCAGTACTCGCCGATACCGGTACTTCCGGTAGCATGGAGCTGGCTTCCCAGGCAATCAAAGAGCCAAGCAGTGTGTCATTACCCACCGCCCAGCTTCTTGATTGTCCAGGAAGCCGACTCCATTCTGATTGGCCGCCTCAATGCTTCCCAGCCAATCGGCATAGAGGGCGGCCAAACAGATCTGACAATATGGTGACACAACCTCCACCCTGCAGACACCTCATTCCCCTCACATCAATCCTCAGCAGCATTCATTACTAGAGGTGCACCGAAATGGAAATTTTAAAACCGAAACCGAAATAAAAAAAAATTTCAGGCCGAAACCAATACCGAATTTTTTTTTTCTTTTTTCAAATTTTTTTTCTTTATTTTTTTATAAACTTTTTAATTTTTTTATATTTATTTTTATTAATTCATTTTTTATTAAATATTTTTATTTTTTACTTTTAGGGGCTTCTGGGAAATATAAGGGGGCTAAACAGAACACAAAGTCCTCAATCTCTTTTTCTGTGTCCCCTGTTATCAATGAACAGGAATCCTCTATGAGTGTTCCTGTCCATTCATAACAAGAGGACATAGTGTTTACTATCACCACAATTATGAATGAACAGGAGGGGATATAGATCACTTCCCATTCATTCATAATTGAGGATATAGTATACATACCATATTCTCAATGATGTACACACACGCAGCGATCACTGAGTGTGTGTACATTGCTTTTCTCTCTGACACGCTGTCACAGGAGGCTGATCGAGCGGTGTAGGGAGAAAAGCCCAGCCTCCTGTGACAGCGCTGTCTCCGCCCCCACACCGCTCTGCCGGACTGTGATAGGCAGCAGAGCGGTGTGGGAGGAGACGCTGGCCGTTCACAGCGCTCTCCACCACAGTGCTCGGCCGGCTGTCACTTTCTCTTCTCCCCGCTGGGACACAGAGCAGCGCCCAGCGGGGAGAAAAGAAATCACGGATGCGCCGATGTATCGGCCGAAACATAGCTCTTTCGGCATTATGCCAAAAGTGCCATTTTCGGCCGATATGTTTCGGCGGCCGATATATCGGTGCATCCCTATTCATTACCGTACCAAAGACGTCCCTCGGCCAGCTGGGCAGACACCACTCTCCAAGCTGTCCCTGATCTGCCCACGTCTCCTGTATGTACAGCGCCCACGTGATCGGCGCTCAGCCAGCTACTGCACATGCGCAGACTGCCCAGTGCTATCATTCAGACATTTTCTAACAGCATCAAGCAGGCGGTGCACACAGGAGACGTGGGCAGATCCGGGAGAGCGGTGTCTGCCCAGCTGGCTGAGGGACTGGTATGGTAATGACTGCTGCTGAGGATCCATGTAAGGGGAATGATTTGTCTGCAAGGTGGGGTTCGTGTCACCGTATTATTAGATGTTTGCCCGGCTCGTTGCTGATTGGCTGGGAATCGGCATCGATCCGGCCAAACAGCATGGAGTCAGCTTCCCAGCTCCATGTTCCCTCGCGGCAGCAGTTGTGTGCAATTCTTTGACCGCCCGGCCACAGCATTTCCATTTATTTTATTATTTTTTACATTTTTACGTACCTACATGTTTTACTTTTATCAATATTATTTTTCTCTTGACTTTATTACTATCACACGGGAACAAGCCCCTGTGTGACAGCATTCAGAGGTGACAGGTTCTCTTTATTGACCCTGTCACCTCCAATACAGGAGTTTTAGCACAACACAACTTTTAGCTGGGACTCCTGTGACAGGAAGGCTGCTAGTGCAGCACTCCTATGTCACTGCTAGCAGAGCAGAGAACGGGCGGTCTCTGCTCCCTAACCTGATCTAACTTGCCGTGGTCCTGGTTCCCCCAGAAGAGTGGGGGACCCCAAAGACCATGGCAGAAAGGAAGCCAGCAGGCAGAGAGAGAGGCAGCAGCTGAAGAAAAGAGAGAAGGGGGGGAGAAAGGCACAGAGAGGATATAATGTAAAAGAAGACGGACAGAGCGAGTGAGGGGAGAAGAGAGGGAGACCTACAGACGAATCCGTGTGATCAGCTTGCAGCCTCTTGCTCACCGTAGCTGCACCTATTCACTTGGGTTTCCCGCCCACTACTTCCTACTTCCTGGTCACATGCTTCCTGTGATATCACAGAGCAATCTGCAGGATAGGAACTAGCCGCTACCGCTGCGGACCCCACTCTTAAAAGGGCGATGCAGGTGAGGCCGGCGCTGGGAGACGTTTTTAAAAGGCGCCTCTTTTTCTTCCTGGGCACTCTGAGCCCCGGGTGCGTGACGTCACTGGCAGGCTTAGAGTAATCACGTGCCTTAGGCAGGACTTTGGCTAAGCTGCGTGTTGGGGGTCTGCAAGTGTCCCCGAGTCGAGCATGAGGTTGCAGAATGGGTGGCATGCAGCAAGAAGCAGGCTGCAAGGAAGAGCTGAGCCCATAGCATTGTCAAAGGACAGTCCCTGGCACTGAAGTTTTGTTCTTTGGGCTTTTTGGTGCTCTTTTTTTTTAATACTAGCTTAAAGATTTTCTCTGTGTCTACAAGACCATTTTTAGCATCTGTTAATTTTAGGGAAAAGTAAAAAGCTATGGAAGGATTTTTCTGGCCACCTGTGAGGGTTTCCCTTCACTTCCTGTTCTGGAGACGCAATAGGAAGTGAGAGGAAATCTCCAAGTAGAAATCCTCTCTTGGACAGCTGTCACTGGTAGCAACTGAAAAGTTTTGGATGTTGCCTCCCTTTCTACCCTAAAGACTGGACACCAGGCACCCTCCACTTCTGCAGATCTGCACACCCCAATATCTGAGGGCCGCTGGCTGTCCTGCCTGTGTCCATCTCCCATCTGGGAGAAAGCTCCATAGAAGTCTATGGGCCTGTAATGTGCAGCACACCTGCTTTGTAAGATGTGCTGTGCTGTTGTTCATTATTAATGCCACCCCAACGCGCCTTCTGCACCATGCACAAGGTAAGAAAGGACCATGTGTTTTGGTGTGGGGCGTCTTGGAAAAAATGCAGGTATGTCAGTGGTGTGCAGGTCAGCCTGTCGAAATCAATGTGTTGTGCTGTACATGATGCACAAAAACGAACATGCATGCATGCGTGCACAAGCGTAAACAGAGACGTAAAGTGGACCTGTACTAAAACAAACCTTCTGCTGCCATACAGTAGATACTCTCTGGTGCCCATACTTCCTGATCCGAGGACTGCGGGCACTCGAGCAATGACCTGCGCAAAAATCAATTCTCCTAAACGCTGATTATTGCAATGTACATGCTCTCCCCCTTCCTTTGTGATGGCCTCTAAGTGCAATGTGGGATGGCAGGGAAGGGCACACCAGTGTCCCATACTGGGAGAACTGGGTACTGGCAGTGGTAAGAGCAGTGGACGGTAGTAGTGAGTATAAAGTAGAAGAGCGTGCGTACTTCCTGGGCATTATGGGATTATTTCAGGACGGATGTTCTTTTAAGGCACAAGACAACCCCCCCCCGCACAGTCTAGGGAGCCAAAACAGATATACTTTTACCCCATGCCCCCCATGGCTGTGGTTGGTCTCTTGGCATCATCACATAGAATGCAAGGCTGTTAACTCTGCGTTGTACGTGAAAGAGGGGAGTGTGTGACTGCCACCAGGAGTGCCATAAAAGGGAGGCTTCCTGGGACACGTTGCGTGGATGGAGGGAGCCTTGCTAGAGCGAGGTATAAGGTAAATATTACTATCCCTGCACCTGTACACTGAAGGGGGGTGAGAGGTATTCAAGGGGCTTTGCAAAGGGTTTATTTTTGTCTCGTGTGTGTGAAGTTGGGCTTTCAGAAAGAGGACATTCAGAATCATTTGTCCATGAAAACGGCGCTTCACTGTAAAGCAGTCTCTTGTAACCAGGGTTTGGCTTTAGGTGCCCTCAGGCCTGGCGCTACCGCAAGGTAAGTCAGGCGGCCGCCTGAGGGCGTTGCAGGGTGAGGGCGGAAAAAACAGGGCATTTTGACAAGTACTTGTCAAAATGACCCGATGTTTGCGCTATGTTTTCGGTGCGTGAGAGCAGCGGCGAGTCAGCGCTGGTCCGGTGGGAGGAGCTCCAGGTGGGGGTCCTAATTTAGCTGGTCGGCGACTGCCGGAGGTGCTGCACGTGTCGAGATCCTCTGGCAGTAGCCGACCAGCTAAATTAGGACCCCACCTGGAGCTCCTCCCACCGGACCAGCGCTGACTCGCCGCTGCTCTCCCGCACCAAAGGTAAGTGAAAAAAAACCAAAACATGCTGATAGGGAGCAGGCCCAGCGCGACGGGGGGGCGCAAAAATTAAACTTTGCCTGTGTTGGCAAAAATCCTAAAATCCTAGCACCGGCCCTGGGCGCCCTCTGCGAGAAAGCTTTATAGTGCCCCTTAGTGGCCACACCCCTCAGGAACCACACCCCTCAGTGGCCACACCCATTTCTCCAGTACCACCACCATTTAAAGCCTCCCATTTTGCTCCCCAAAGAAGCATTTAAAAAGCATGATACAAATGAAACTTTTATTCAAAAGTATTAAACTTGTACGCACAAGATAAGTGTTCTTTGAAAAAAATAAAAAAACAACAACAGAAGGTAAACACAAAAAATGTCAAACTTAAATAAAGTGTCAGGATGTCACTTTGGTACATTTCATTTATCTTTTCTTTGCAATAGAGTATGGAAGGGTTTGATGTCTCTTTTTTTATATTGCTGTCTGTGTCCCCCACATAAAACCATCCTTTTTCTTTTAGGCGACGGCTCAGCGGGAGAAAAGGCGTCTTCTAGATGCACAGCGCGGCAAGTGCAGGGTGCGCTTGGGCTCCCACCTTGATGAGTGGTGTGCGCTAAAGGATCACTTGGGGTTTGCACAGCATGCGCAGTTGGCCAAATTCCTGCTGGACAGGTAAGAAAAAAAGAAATGACAAAGAAACAAAAAAATTCCCCCCACACACAGCGAGAAATAAAAACCTCAACCAACTCAAGAACTCACAGATTGGATACTGTAGTATGTATGCCTTGTGGCCTTATGTCAGCATCCAAGCTTTGTTTAACCCCTTTATGACTGAGGCCTTTTTTCTTTTTTGCGCCCATGTTATATTCCACATTTTAGGCCTGAAAATTACTTAAAACCACCCAAACATTATATATTTTCTGAAAGCCAAGACCCTATAGAATAAAAAGATGGCAGTTGCAAATTTTATATGTTGCACGATATTAGCGCAACTCCTTATCAAACCCCAAAACTTAGTGTAAAATGTACTTAAATGCCCCAAAACACAATGAAATACCAATTTGTTTAATAAAATATAAAAGATGAGGTTACAGTGAGTAAATAGATACCCAACATGCCCAGGTTACAAATTGTGTGCGTCCGTGAAATGGCGACAAACTTCAGTACCCCAAAAAGTCAGTAGACGACGCTTTAAAAGCCCCCACAGGTCATCAATTTAGAGATACCCAAAAATACTGGCCCTAGAATTATTGCTCTCATTCTGGCGTGCGTGGCGATACCCAACATGTGTAGGGCGTTTGTAGTTTTCATGCGTAGCGACGTGCGTGCTCGCGGGGGACTTAAAAAAAATGTTTTCGTTATTTTTAGATTTATTTTATTTCATTTTAAAAACTTCTTTTTTTTTTTTTTACTTTACATTGATTGCTATCACATAGGGGGGCTTAGAAGTGATGCAATCTGCATCGCTCCCATAGAACAGGGAGGGGATCGACGAACGGAGGTTCATCCATTTCCTCCCCAGCTCCCCGCCGACACCAGAGAAGCCGGTCCCATAGGAGGGGCAACGGAGCCCGGGAAGCACGGCGGGGGTGTCGGGCAGGGGGGGGCCTTCACAGGACTCTAGAAGCGATCTGGCGACGTTTAAACAGCCCCGAAGCTGGTGACGTACACTGTACGTCGTCAGTCACAAAGTGGTTAATGTCATCCACGTGTTTTGCGGCTGCTTCTTATACTCAGTAAGCGTCACTCCGCCAGTCCTGCCGCTACCTGGTAGGCACTATCTGCTCTACATTTAGGGTATTGTGGTTCTAGAGTGGGTAGACAGCCTCGGCACTCCAGCTGTAGTGAAACTACAAATCTCATTATGTCTCTGGGAGTCACGCCTATGACTGTCAGACTTGGCTTGTAGTTCTACAACAGCTGGAGTGCCAAGGTTGCCTAACCCTAGTGATTTCATATAACTGCTTTATTACCTTATTGGCTTCTTGTCTCAGCGTAGTAGAGAGAGTATCAGTATTACGTTGGTGCTAAGTCACTAAAGAACACAGCAGTGACATAGTGGCTGGCGGGAGAAAGCACATTGCACAGCTGGGGACCAGGCATCAGACACTCCCGAAACTGTGTTGGATGCTATAGAGAGGAAAGGTCATTCTATCCTGGGGGACAGAGTCCCTTAAAAGGTAGAGCAGCCAACCAGAAGACCAGAAATGCTCAAGGCAGCTGAAGACCCCCTGTCTATACTAAATCCGACAAAGTAAAAATGGCAGCCACTCAGACCATTTGATAACTATTACAGGAAAGATGCATGTGGGTACAGAAGAACACAAAACAATACGACAATTCCCCAACACCACCTCCAGCTAGATGTTTCCAATTAAATTATTTCAATATTTGGGTTCAAAACAAATTTGTCTTACACTCTTGTATGTAATGCTCTGTATTGCAAAGGTGTGTTACCAGTTTTACCCAGGAGGTGGTGCTAGAGCCTAAATTTGAAACGGCAAGTTCAGATGGCACTGAAAACGTGGAAATGATGGGGTTGATGGGAAAGGTGGCCCTCTCTGTCTTCATCCCTCCTGCAGAGGTGAAAGAGTCTTCCTACCTCCCCCCTGAAGCAGAGAATAAGGCTCAGTAAAAAATGTCATGTTGCACCCTTATTAGAATTCCCAGTCTCTATGGTGCAAGTCCATCATTTGCTACAGCAGCCCTTAAGTCAGTTGTACAGGTCCCTCCTATGCTAACACATGTTACAATCTGACTGTTCAATCCATTTTAGATTTATGTAATATGATGACCTTCCTAAACTGCCCAACCAATGTGTATCCAGTCAGGCAGGCCCGCACACTACATAGTTGTTGGTAGGAGATTGTACATTCAGATTGCAATCTGTGTGGTGAGCTTAAGGGCAGCAAGTCTCATGCATTGAATGCAGTGCCCTTGTTGTGTCCTGAGCAATGTACCACCACTGATCATTGAATGCAGTGCCCTTGTTGTGTCCTGAGCATTGGATGCAGTGCCCTTGTTGTGTCCTGAGCAATGTACCACGACTGAGCATTGGATGCAGTGCCCTTGTTGTGTCCTGAGCAATGTACCACCGCTAAGCATTGAATGCAGTGCCCTTGTTGTGTCCTGAGCATTGGATGCAGTGCCCTTGTTGTGTCCTGAGCAATGTACCACGACTGAGCATTGGATGCAGTGCCCTTGTTGTGTCCTGAGCAATGTACCACCGCTAAGCATTGAATGCAGTGCCCTTGTTGTGTCCTGAGCAATGTACCACCGCTAAGCATTGAATGCAGTGCCTTTGTTGTGTCCTGAGCATTGAATGCAGTGCCCTTGTTGTCTCCTGAGCAATGTACCACCTCTAAGCATTGAATGCAGTCCCCCTGTTTGCCCTGAGCATTGGATGCAGTGCCCGTGTTGTGTCCTGAGCTTTGGATGCAGTGCACTTGTTGTGTCCTGAGCATTGGATGCAGTGCCCTTGTTGTGTCCTGAGCATTGGATGCAGTGCCCTTGTTGTGTCCTGAGCAATGTACCACCTCTAAGCATTGAATGCAGTGCCCTTGTTGTGTCCTGAGCATTGGATGTTACATAGTTACATAGTTACATAGTATTTGAGGTTGAATAAAGACATTAGTCCATCAAGTCCAACCTATTAGGATCTCATTCTAGGAGTACCTGTACCCCTGTATATTACGGTCCCTTAAGAAATCGTCCAAAAGTTTCTTGAACAATTCCACATTCTTTGCTGAAATCACTGTCTGTGGCAGTGAGTTCCAGACCCTAACTGATCTTACTGTGAAGAACCCC